GTTTTCAGACATCATGGACTATGACCCAGAAATGCACAATTGGTATATCCCAGGTCTTTGGCATGGAGTCCCACCAATGGCTCCAGTTAATAGGGGCTACAGTGAAAAAGTGTTTGAATTAAAGAAGTCCCTTTTTGAATTCATAAAGGATAGGTCACATAAAAGGCCTCCCAAGGATATCCCTCAGTTTATTGAATGGGTGAAAAGCTTGTGGAGAGCTGTGAAACATGAGAACTTCATCTTCAGCTTCCGCAATAGCCTCATAGCTGAAGCCTATAACCAATTGTCCATGAAATATTCTGAATGGGACTGGCATTTCCGCAGAGAGATGCACCTCTGGGTATCTGAGCAGGAAACTGTGATCCAGAATGTTGACCTTGATGAACTGGATCATTCCAACTGGAAAAATGACCTTCAAGCAAAGCTGTCATCTGGAGAACAGAGGATGCTCCAGCACTTGGAGGAATACTTTGAAAGTGGAGCAGCAAATCTACATTTGGTGGAAAGGTACAAAGAAGATTTTATTAGGAGTGCCAGCAGCCTCAAGCGTGAACTTGAAAATTATTCTTCTACCAAATGCATAGAAGCTATTCGTATTAAAAAGGGTCGCCACAAGATTGATACTCTTCAAATTGAATACCTGAAAATATTTGAAGGAAAGGTGGACAAACTTCTTGAAGACTGTCGGAAAAATGAATATAGATTGGAAGATGAGGAGTTGAAAAAAGAATTTGAAAGAATGTGGGCAGAAACATTGTCAGCAATCTCACCAACTCCATTAGAAAACCGGCAGATACTTTCAGATATAGAGTTATCTTTAAGAAAGGAGTTAGCTCATCGGGGAAGTTTAGTTAACCTAAAAGTACAGGAAGCAAAATGTTTGCTAAACTACAGCATAAGCACCTTTCAAATGAAACCTGAGTATTTAGAAACATCAATTATATACCGTGTTAGACATTTTTTTGCTAAAAAGGACCGCTGGCATAAAGCCGAGGAACTTGCTAGATCTTTGATGACCCTGTGCAGTTCATACATCAATGAAAAGGTCTGTTGCAGAGGAGATTATGATGAGACCTATTGTGTCGAACTTTTACATATGATCAATGAGAAGCTTCAAGAAAGTGATGTTCAAAAACTGCATATAACAGCTTGCTTTGAAATAGATCTAAAGCTTCACATTTTAGGAGAAGCAACTCACTCCTTTCAGAAAATGCATGACGATTTTATTAAGGAAAATGATCCTCACGTACGGCTGGAAAACCTGAGACCTCAGTATTTCTCTGTTTTCAGAGACCTTTACTTAGAAAAAGATGCTCTGCAAAACAGAGCCAAGGATTTCTGTGAGCATTGTCTCTACCCTTCCATAGTAGATTATATTAACAAAAGGCTTGGGATAGAAATAGTGAATGACATTCTCACCAGTTCACAAAGTATTGGATACGCTAGCCGAAGCTTCTTCCAGTTTTGTGTCCTGAAGGAGTTATTGGAGGAGAGGGATGTCAACAAGTTTGTAAATTATATCATGGAATATGAAACATTTGTTAAGGGGTGGATAAAGGGGCAAATTTTCGATCATTATGCAGAAAATGATCTGAAGGACCTAGAAAAAGAGATTGTCTCTCATATAGTAAAGAAGATTAGGGAAACACTGGAAAGCATGACGCATAAAAGCATTGAGACATTATCAGAATTTTTAGACAATTTTTGCCAACAAATGCAGAAGGAGCTGGTTATTTCTAAGGACAACTTAATGGGGATACAGTTTAAGAACACATTTGATCCTTGTCAATTCTCCGCTTGGGTTGGGAAATTCCTTCCTGATTTGCAAATGCAAATACAGTCTGATTTTGCAGCTCTCGAGATCAAATCCAAGCTCTCCAACCTGTCTGTGAAGCCTCAATGTGAGCTCTTCAACCGAGTCTTTGGCTGTGGGAAGCAATGTCCTTTCTGCAAAGTCCCCTGTGAAGCGGGCGGGAGTGCTCACAAGGAACATTTTGCTGCCATCCATCGTCCGCAAGGACTAGGAAGATACAGAAACGAGAGTTCTGAAGAGCTTGTTCATTCTATTTGCTCCACTGATGTAGTTTCCAACAGCACGTTCCGAAACTGGGATACAGACTGGGAGTGGCATCCATACAAAGATTATCGTGACTACTATCCAGACTGGTGTATTCAGCCAGATCCCAGTATCAATGCTTCTGATTACTGGAAGTTTGTTTTGAAAGAATTCAATTGTGACTTTGCCAGATGTTACAATGCCAAACCAGCTGATCTACCTGAGGATTGGAAAAATATATCACAGGAGCAAGCACTGGAGGCCATAAAGGAAACCTACAATATGAATTAACCCACCCACCCCCATGTTTTGAGAACATCTAAGTTGCTGCACACACAAACCACTTCAACAAGGGTTGGCATTAATGAAAGACAAGTAATTGCATTAAGTAAGTTCCATGATCTGTGTTTGCTTTAGTGGCACAAACACAAAAAATTGGAACAATACAGAGATTGACATGAGCCTTGCATAAAGATGATAATCAAATTTGTGAATAGTTTTTTTTTAAATATCCATATGAAAATCTTACCTGTCATATCATTATTACATATCTAGTTTAGCAAATCTGCCTAGTCTTTATGTTTGAATGAAACACACCAAGCAACAGTGACTTGGCCCATTCCCAATGATTGGAAGCCTTTAACTTCCTGTGGCAAGAATATCAAGCTAACTGCCATACTTTGGCAAATGCTGGAGAAGGTAAAATATCCTTATAGTTGGATCTTTGGGGGCTGAACAGATAAGGAAGCACAGGCTGTTCCTCTTCTAAGAAAAAGATGAAGTATCAAATAACAATAGGCAAACGTCTTTCAATGAGACAGAAAATGGATTCTTCTTGAAGAACACCCTGCTTGAGAGTAAGATTCTCTCTACTATTTTGCCCCATCAATATCAGGAAATTTGCATTCCAGTGTGTTTTCAGTGCTGAGCCATTAGAAAAGGATTGCTTTTAGTGCTCTAGTCACTGTTGTATCTGTGTTTTTCTCCTTTCTGTGAGAGTTTATTCCTATCTTCCCTTGGTTTCCCCATCCCACCCCTTTGATTTAGAGATACTGTATCTGAGAAATTCAACGATGTATTCCCCAAATGGCACCTGTACTACAACAAATTCCATTGTTTGAGTTTGAAAATCAGTTTGCAGTAGGGAGTGAGCCGTCCTCCGCGGTTAAAGGAGCAGAAGGAGAAGGAGATCGTGTAGAAGGGATACTGGTAGAGGTGGAGCGTGAGGACCCAGAAGTCCAGGAGTATAGAGAAGTCTGTCTGGTGGATGAGAAGGGGGAGGAGCTTGATCTGATTGTGTGGGAGGATATAAATGAGGGTGAAAAGGCGGGAAGTTTCAGAGTGGTGAAAAGTGAACCGGTTGATAAAGACAGATCTGTACAGCCAGAATGGAGCATGGGCCAGGAGGGTTTTCGAAAGTTGCTAAAAGAATTCCCTAACCTACAAGTAAGTGGAGGTCTACTCCCGGAACCACCAGATTTTCTAACACACGGGCAAGAGTTGGATCCCCTAGAATGGACTGTGGTGGTCTATCCACGCAATCAACGTGGGGGGAGGAGGGTGATCTGTCCCAGTCCCTCTTTGCTTCAGAAGCAACGGGAGGGGGATTGGGCGAGACACCCGTGTTGCGGGACCGTTTGCGCGGTCAGAACTACTCCGATACGGCCTATGACCGACCAAGAACACTTTGGGCCAGCCCCCCCAGTGAGGCGTAAAGAAACAGAGAAGATTGAGAGAGTTAGAAGTTATAAGTTGTTACCCGAATTGAGTCTAATGGACCCTTTTGAGCCTGTTGAGTTGAGTTTATATTTGAATAAAATGGACTCTGTTAAATCTAAAGAATTGCCTCCTGTACTTTTTCCCGCCACCTCCACGGAACCTCCCTCGACCGAACTGGCCCGGACTTACACTATACCATCCTCTTTGCTAGTGAAAAGACTAATGTATGTATATCTCTGTCTACTGATGCAGTGGAACTAAAGAAGAAGGATATTCTTTAGAAGAAGTGTGGCCCTTACAAATACTAGTTTTGTTGTACTGTGTGGATAAAATTTATACCTCTCCAGTTTCACAGGGTCTGGCTTTAATTTTTCTGGGTTGTTTCTAAAACATATAATTACTAACAGAAGATATGTCAGATTACAATTTCATTGTATTTTTTATGATTTATATAATACAGTGGCTTATACTGAAATTATTAACAACCATTGTTATTAATTATAATTAGTAGTCCTCTTTTGAGAGGAGCCTGTTTGTTGTAGTGCTTTAAATATTCAACCAGGATTCGAGAGACCTTGGTTCAGATTCCCCTTTGAAACTAAGATGACAGGGGATGTGAAACCAGTCGTGAAACGGAATGACTTTTAGCCAAACACTGTTGCGGCCACTTGCACGGCTCAAGCAGGAAACATGAAAGGCTTTCCATGTCACTGTGTCAAGAAGGAAATGAACTAATGTATAGTCTCCATATAAGGGCTTCTTCATCGCTTCCCACAAAACTGCAGTGAACAGGTAAAACGTGCGGCTTTAAATGAGGGGAAAAACAGGAGAAGGCAATTCCCTTCTCACTAGGCCATGTGTTGTCTTAGCTGTGGTTCACCGCTAAAGCCATGAATTGTATGGCAGATGACCAAGCAAACTGTGGCTTATGTTGCCTGTTTTTTATTGTCCCTTTTCCTGCCTCTTCTAGAACTCCCTCTCAGTGTCCCTAAAACTTTAGTAAACCAGAGGCCTCCTGCTCCATCTCTTAAAAAAAAGAAAAAAAGGAGAATATGGGGAATGAGGAACACCGACAAGGAGGGAGGACATTGTTCACAAAAAGGAGGACATTATTGTATTCAATGAGTATATGCTAAGCTGAATTAATAAATACAAACACAAATGAATTTATTGTCATTGTAAATATAAACATAGTATACACATACAACAAAATTCACACAGACACCCAGAGACCAGACCCACATGCACATATCACAATTAGGCATTATTAGTAATAAGTGGAAATACACTACTGTTCACCATATTGCACAAGATACTGAGGGTCACCACCTTGGGACAAAGAGAGGGAATGAATTCCTGAATAAGGCATATTGTTTAATAACTCCCCAAAATGCCTCCTAATCCCTGCATTTTCTATAGAAAATGCTTAACCATAGAATGTAAATAAGCAGAAATCACTAATATTGCTGAAATATCTAGGTGGGCAGCAATCCATTATTTCATGGACCTCACACTTCCAGTTCATCTGAGACTGGTATGTCGTGCCATATTCTTCTTGCCATGCATCAGTAGTTACATCAGTAAGTTTGGTTCACCTTTTTTTCTTACAAAATAACCCCCCCCCCCAAAAAAAAACATTTTAGCTAGAAAATTAGAGAGGGCTGTTTAGGTACATTTACCAAGGGAAGATTTTGGGGAGTTTTTTCTCCCGTTCACTCTTCACCTGTCCCCTAGCTTTCCAAAGCTCTTCCTGATGAAGAATTCTGCAGGACTCAACAGTTAGCCTGTTTTTGAGATTTTATTGGTTTATTAATGATCTCGTTGGATAGCCGGTATGCCATAGCACGGAGTGTCAGAGGCAGATGTGAAAGGGAAGACCAGGGACAAGAGGTCTTCCTAGAAGTGCCGTCTCTCCCCAGGACACCTAGAGGGATGCAGACCACTCCACCCTCTACCCTTCCCAGAAAGAAGGTACAGGGAATAGACACCCAGGAGTTTGAAGAGATCAGCAAGAAGGGAAGGAGTCTGTCTCAAGCAGTGGACACCCGAGGTCTAGAAAAGGGGATGAAAAGGTTAAGTGTTGCCACCGAAACAGGGCTTGAGATGGCGTGAGAGGATAGCAGGTAAGCCATAGCATGGAGTGTCAGATGCAGAATCAAGAGTCCTAAACTGAAATTTTGCATGACACCAAAATGGATCACCATGCACCACCACCACCAAAAAAATAAAAAAGATATCAGGGTGTCTGTGCAGGAAATCCTTATGCAGACTGTTGTTCCTCATCATGATGTTTTTCTTAGCAATTTGAATTCTGTCCGTCCTTTCGGATTGGTGCAGTAGTACTGGATAGAGCACTGGACTAGAAGACCTGGGTTCGAATTGCTACTGAGCCAGGGAAACTCACGAGGGGGCGGGGGGAGGCACCTGGTCAAAACCATTCATTAAATAAACAATTTTGAAGCCTATTAGGGTCGCTGTAAGTCAGAAGGCCATTCCACTTCCCATTAACACAGCCCTTTAGGCACCCAGGGTTGTGGCCAGGGTGAGCCCGAGGGGCACTTTGGCCCAGGGCCTGCGGCTTGAGAGCGGGCACACCTGGCTACCCCACCTGTCGCGCTTAGGGCCACCCCAGGGCGCCTCCTTCTTGACGCCAGGCCTCTGGATGAGGTGTGGCTGCCTGGCACCGACTCTCCCCTAATTTTGGCAACAGGAGAGACCAGGGGAGCGTGTGCTGGCAGCGGTCCACGGCAGCCGCGATTGGGCCAAGGCGAAGGGGGAGTCCCTTCTCTGCCTGCCTCCCTTCCCTCCTCCCGTTGAGGAGACGGAAGAGGAGGGAGGGGAAGCATCCTCCCCCTTGAAGAGACTTTCCGGACTGCCCTTGAATAAGGCTCCAGGCGGGTCTTTGTTGTGCCTCGGAGACCAGGAGCCTGCAGCCTCCCTCCCTCTTCTCTGTTCTTGCCATCCGCCCCTTCCAAGCCTTGCAACCCTCAGGACTGGGAGGACAAAGGGGAGAGCGAGACCCCCCCAGCGAGAGGGAGGAATGGCGCATCCTCCCCACCTGCTGGGCGGCCCCTCTTCCCTTCTCTGCCCCCCCCCCCGGGTTCCAAGTTTGAACCGGGGGGGGGGGGGGGGGGGGGGGGGGGGT